AATTTTTCTTGTGTTCATATAATTTTTTTTTTCTGGACTAGAAACTGACTGAATGTTCTGTATGTTAAACATTTTCAGTTAATCTTTTAGCCATTATTCAGGATGATTTCATTTTTATTTTTTATTGAATGTATGGATTTTATGTATATATCTAGAGTTATAGGAATATTTCTATTGTCCAAACACAAGCAGTAAATTGTGCTGTGTTTATAGTTGACTTTATTGAGTGTTGAATATATCTATCTATCTATCTATATCTCTCTCTCTCTATATATATATATATATATATATATATATATATATACACACACACATACATACACAAATGAAATTGGTTCAGTAAGTCTGTAGCCTGACATACAGTTATTAAGTGAATTTTGATTCAAACTTTCTTTGGTTTATATTCCATTTATGTAATAATATTGTCACTGATATTCAGAGAACTTAAAACAATTATTTGGTTACTTATTTTAGTGTATCAGTTTACTTACCATTATTACGACATGACACAAGCAATGGTCAGTTCATAATTTTGATATTAAATAATCAACAGTACCATTTCATAGCCGTTTGTTCCTTATATTATTGCCAACTTTTTAGATTTATATAAGTAGTGAAGTAATCGTTCTAAGTAACATAGTTAATTGACATAAGTGCTGCATAATTTGTGATAAATATTGATAACTGAATGACATGAATTGAAAAGAAAGATGATTATGTTGAAAAATCAATGTATTTTGTATGAAATAAATGCTTTACCAGATTTACAGGCACTGACATATGTGTGCATGTACACACACATGCACACAAAAAAAGATACTGACACACACAGACATATAAGTGAAATTCAAAATGCATGTGCATTCCTTCCTAAAGATGTCACATTTTGAGAACTGCAAATCTACCATTACTTTTATAGATATGAACAGCTGATTGCATGATTTGAACATTATATCCACTGATTTTCACAACCATCTTATTCTCCAGTGCTGCTCTTCATCAGTTATGTTGGCTTTATCCTTCAGAGGCCCATTAGCTCCCCTTTCTTTCTACACATGATCAGCCATTTCTGATTTCAGTGTTTCTCTATTCAGTGGTTCTGCTTTTATGAAGTAATTGATCTAACCCTTACAGACTGTGTCACATTAATATATTTTTCCAGTGGAAAGATTACTTTTGTAAAATAGGTATGCAAAGTAGGACATTTTTGAATACTATCCTGACAGAGGATGGATGGCATAAATAAATAAATTTGTCATCATGGGTATACTTTATTTATTACCTGTAAAGTTTAGCTTTTAATTTATCCTATTTTATATAGGACTGGTTGAGTGTTTTTTTGTTTTTTTTATATTAGAATTTTTAAAGGTTTTTTTGTTTTTTTTATTAGATCACAAAAAAGTTTTTATCACTAAAGATGTAGTTTTGTCCTCCAGGGAACAAAGGAAGTTTTTCTTTGATGACATCAAGGCTCTGTTCTTCATAGAGTGTTTTCTTTTTTTTTGTTTTTTTTTTTAGGTTTTTATCAGCTATGTTTAAGCATGGTGACAGAGATAAAGAGAGAACAGAAGAACTTGAAACTTATCTCCAAGCAAAAATTACCTGTGACTCTTTTTATGCTATTCTTAGAATTCTTCAATATTAAAATGTATATTTATTTCCAATACAAAGCTATAATTCAAATTATGATTTGCATATATTTATGGCATATGTATTTATGGGTATGTATGTATACAAAAAAAAACATATATATATATATATATATATATATATATATATATATATATATATATATATACTTTGTCTCTGAGGAGACAAAAATGCCTAATGTTTCATTTCATAACAGCATAAATATTACTAGTAAGAGATGTTGCCTTTGGCAAGTTGCTACCTAAAGTTTCATGTGAATTTTGTTACACAATCAGCAGGTGACAGACATTGCTTGCTATAGTGCCGGTTTCAAATACCCACCAGGGCTAACCCCATATATAAAAGATTGAGAACTCAATGCACTGACTAAACTCAGTAAAAAAAATAAAAAAATAAAAATTAGCCAAAACATTCAAAAGTAACACCTCTTTGCATCTAAAAAATTCATAACTAGGTATTTTAAAATAAAATAAATAGCCTTTACTTGAATCTGTTCAGGCAGTATAGCATTTCTATAGATGAGAGGAGTTATTACTTTTATGTGTTTTGGCTGAATTCATTTTTTTTTTTTTCCCCATTTTAGGCTTATGATTCTCATCAAACAGGCATAAGATATCCACCATAGCTGGAAAAGATCCCAGCCGAGCTGGTCAAACTCTCTACCTTTGGGTAGACGAGGCTATGTCGAAGGGCAGAGTCTCATCTTGGGAAACAGCTATCTGACCCCGTTTTATATAGGAATTTTTGGCCGAGCCTGCAGCCTTGTGCCACATCTTACCTTGTTGTTCATAACAGCATAAATATTACTAGTAAGAGATGTTGCCTTTGGCAAGCTGCTACCTAAAGTTTCATGTGAATTTGGTACACAATCAGCAGGTTGGTAAATATTTCCACCACAATGAGTTTGGTCAATATGTTGACAACATAAGATTTTATATTTCCGGTTCACCTTGGTGTGTATTTGAAGCTGGCATTACAGCAAGCAATGTCTGTTATTTAAGGATTGTGTACTAATGAACAAATGAAACCTTAAATAGTGGCTGAACAAGGAAAACAGCTGTTTTTCTATATATATATATTAGGAAATTTAATGACAAAGTGGAAAAAAAGTGTGTAAAATGTTTCATCCTTTAGGACTTAATCAGACTGGAGTGATGTTTATGTTGATGCAATTAAACATGTACAGAAAGAGGAGGAGATAGTGAAATTTATATATATATTTTGGTATATAAAAATTTATATATCATTTATATATATATATGCATGCATGCACAAAAGATAGAACAATCAGTATGTAGTCTAACAAGTGAATTTTGATCTGAAATTTTCACTGCATAATATTCACTTTATATGATTAACAGATTGGTGTCAAGTGAAGTGCATTAAAAAAAAGAATATAGAAAAAATAAAAATTGTTGTGTTAAGTGTTTTTTCATGAGATTACAGACTTACTGCTGTACCTATATAAATGTGTGTGTGTGTGTGTATCTGGGTAAGTGAATGAGAAAAACAAAATTGCAACACATTTCATTCTGAGAAATAACTTCTTCAGACTAATTAATTTTCTTTTTAGGAATCAGTCTCATATCTTAAATAGAGAGGGAGGAATGCAACAAAATAATAGCTACAGTTTACACTGAAATGTTAAGCACATCTTCCATATATCATCAAAGCATATATTAATTATCAATGTGTATTTATTTATATATTTCCTGTCCCATCTGTAATGGTAAGGGAGGTAAATAAACTTAATTTAATAAATCTATGAATGATTAATTCCCTTAGTCATTTTAATAATTTATACAAATAAAATATTTATATACATTTAGGTAAAATTAGTTAACAAGCAAAATGAACCATTTAATTAATCACTGCAGTCTTATTTGTTCAAGTCTTTCATGTGAGACACTCAGATAACTTTGTCTATTAAGTGATCATGTTGAATAGGTTTTGTCATCACTGTCTTGTCATTCTGTTGCTAATCTTTTTTGAGAAATATTTCCATTTCACTGTTATATTAAGCACATGAAATTTTTAACATGAAAAGATATTGAGCACAAAAGCAATTTATATAGAGTACCAGGAGTAATTAATGATTCATAGATACCACTGTACCTCTAATAATATAAAGGGAATAGATTAATTCTTCATTGACCTCTATTTTATCTTTGAATTCTTTATCACTACTTTATTGAATCTCAGTACATTTTTTCAAGACTTTTGTTTCATTGCATCTCATTAACAATTAACATTAACTAACAATTGCCATCACTTTTGATGGCACAGGTACACTAGTATATATATATATATATATATATATATATATATATAATTTCAGTAATAATAAAGTAGGAATGGATAAATGACCCTAAAAATATCAATTTCATTTGTTAAGATCACTTTGGGAAATCAATTTTTTTTTAAAATTTTTTTAACATACATATTGAAAAGAAAAAGGAATTTTATAATAAATAATAAAAGAGGTCCAAATGGATAAATCATTGTTTTAAACCCAATTTAACTAGTTTTCTGGCTTCCTTATTGATCTGAACATTTACAGGAGTACGATACAACTCTCTGCCTGAGGGAGAAGACAAAACATTACAGAAAGTCCAGTTTTATATAGTTGGCCTGAGAGCAAATGCACATGAGGGAATTGAAAAAAAAATTTTTAACAAGTGTTGTCAGAATTTTTTTTTAATGCCATATTTCCTTCAGGCAATCATGGCTATATACAAATTTTTTTTTTCTTTGAATTGGCATACTTTCTGGAAAAGATAGTGGAGTATTTTCACATTGCGCTCGCCACAGTTATATATTCAAAGTAGTCTGTCATTGAAGGCTAGGCAGTCCAGTCTAACCTAGTATTTAACCTATAGCTGGGAGGAAACAGATGGTTCATGCCTTTCTTTTCCATGGGCATTGGTATGAAAGTGAACAAAGTGGTTGAGTCAGCTTGCTGATTTTACTTTCTGTGCCAATTACTGTGACACAGCCAGCATTTCCATTGTCGGAAATGTATATTAATAATTATCATAATAATGTTAATAATAATATCAGTGATAACAGAAGAAATAATGAAAAAAAAAATTATCTGTTGTTCTAGATCAATTTCATTACAGCAAAATAAAAAAATTACTTCCTGACATTGTAAGATAAGGCATTTTGCAATACTGAATACTCAATACTGCAATACTCCATCCAACCATAAAGACTGGATCTTATAATCCTGTACAAATAAAAAAAAATATCAGGTCATAAATGTGAACATGTCAGTGAATCAGAGAGGAAACATGAAGGAGAGTGAGAAATTAGGACAATACCAGGACCTTACTTGAGGTTTACAGCTACATCACAATGAAATGCTTGTTCCCATATGATCCCTGAAGTTAAATAAAGTTGAGCTTGGTCTGTACCAAGATGGGTGAACACTTGGGAATACCAAGTGCTGTATGCTTGAACGTGCAGGTGGTGTAATCCATAATGGCTTGAAATTGTTAATTGGAGACTGAGTTCTAATTCCTGTTGGGTTTGTTATATTCATTTTGGGAAAAGTATGAATCTACATCTTCTCCCTGCCAAATATGGGTTAATTAGTAAGACTTGTATCACTAAATCATTATTATCTAAAAAAAAATTCTTACAATCTAATAATATTTTCTGGTTTTGAATAACCTGCAAGGCATTGATAAGCTATAGAAAATGAATCAATCAAGGACCTTGCATGAGATCTGACAAAGATATAGAATATATAGGTAAGTATATTTACATGAGCTACTCACCAATGCAGGATGTGACACAAGATCGTTTTAACGTGAGGAGAACTATACACATAATTATGTGTATGGGCCAAGGACAAAAACTGATTGTTGCCCAGCCCTGTGACCACTGTCATGCCGATATCAGTATTACACCGATCCCACCTCTTTAGCGTGATGAAGAAGGTGCTGCCAGAGGGTTGGAATCCTCAAGGCTGAGCAACTTCTTCTAGCTAAAATGAGAAGAATCATAGCTCCACTTACAGAACAGGGACATTAACTATACCTCAGTAAACCCTCATTGGTAATGTTTAACTCCTGTGCCATGTAAGTATATGGAATATATAGGTAAGAGTTATATCTATAATAATGGATGCATTTGTTACTGTACCAAAAACACTTAAATTGAGATTACCCTAATAATGCCCACTATTTGGAGATGATTGGCATTAATGAGTTATAGATACAAACTTCTAATTAACACCAGATTTTTTTTTATAAAACAATAATTAATATTGAATTTTTATTTCTGTAATTAATACCAGATTTAACAGTGAGCATCAATTATTTAAATAAACTGGAAAGCAGTGTAAAGTTGCACAAACCACAGTGTTGCTGGGATCTGTAAGAAGACAGAGAAAGGTCATGGAGATTTGAGGAGACTTGTTGCCACACAGTCTTCAGCACTGACCATGAGACACGCCAATGTTCAAATGTATGAAATATAATAGCAAGCACAGCAAAAACATAATAAAAATAGTATGAATTCATGAATGAATGTTTTAAGTACAACTGGTTTTTCAACTTCCTTATCAGTTATTTATATGAAGCAATGGCCACATGATCAAAATTATATAGTGTCTGTAATATAAATCAAATAACCTGATAAAAAATAAACTTGCATGAATGTATAGGGGTAACTTTTTTCCAGGCTTGGCTTAATTTAACCTAAGTCAGTTCATTACTACAATAAAAGTAGTTACAAAATGAAATGGTCTACATTTTTTTATCAAAAGAAATTATGAATTCATTTGTATTTTTTCTTTTTACATGAAAGACAAAGGAAATCTAAATACGATAGCTGACAGAAAGATGAAAAATCCAGAAATTAATATCAAGATTTTGAATCTAAAAACCAGAATTCTCTATTCTATAATATAAAACACAATCTGATTTTTATGTACACTCAAATTTCAAATAGACAGAATAGTTGTGTTGTGATAACAACAAATAAATCACTAAACCACTAACCATTAGTACTAGACTATGTAGCCAAAATAATAAATAATTAATAATAAAAAATTAAAAAGAAAAATTAAAAGTTAAGTAATAAAAAAAATTAAAAGTTAAGTAATAAAAATAGTTTGAAATATATAAAAATGATAATTAACAATAAAAAAAGTGAGATTATAAAAAAATAGCTAAATAAATATAAAAACTCCCATCATGCACCTGAACAGGCCTTTTGCCACCAACTGAAACAGAAATAAAATCTCTTTTCACCTTCAACGGTTAAATGAAATAGATGCCTGGGGACAGTGCTCTGACAGACCATATGGCTCATATTCGATAAGCCAAAAACTTTTTGTATATATATATATATATATATATATATATATATATATATATATATATATGTACTATGAAATATGCAATTTTCTCTGAAATGTACATGAAAGTCTTTTATCAGTTTTGTTTGTGCTTATTGTGTTGTATACTGTATATGATTTGTTTGTAATTTATATATTCCTGTTGTGGAACTGATGATGTCTTTTTAACATCCAAATAAAATTAAATATATATGGAGGATTCTCCCATTGTATTCGATGTATGAGGGTCAAGCAGCTCAGTTCCTAGGAACTGACAACCAGTCACCAGCACATATGATTTGATTATAGTGGTGAAGGCTTTGTGCAGAACCAACCACACTTTTTGAAGGGCCGAATACAGAGACCTGGTGCACTACATGCCACATAATTTTTAATGATTTGAAAATTTCAAATCTTTTTTAATTTTATAGATATGAGGTAAATAGCAATAGGAAGGTTCAGATCCCAAAATCCTAAGTCTGGAATCATAATACCAAGGGTCAAAAATCAGTCTTGCAAGTCCAGTGTCAGAAAATACTGGGGTTGTAAATCAAAAGGAGTAAAAAATCTGTGTCTGAAACTTGCAACACACAACTACCTTCTTCACCCATGAAAAATCAAGCATCTCTGTGGTCCAAAGTCATGTTAAAAGAACACTATTTTGGGATTAAAAAAGGTTGTAACTGGTCAAAACTGGTAGAGAAAGGCAAATAATTACCATATTTTGAGCCCTACTAAAGCCAACATGATCTTGATTCTGATTTTCTTTTTTGACTGAACAATGAACACATTCTTTTTTTGAGATAAAACTTGTTTTTTTCATTTGATACTACAAGATAAAAACCCTAAATTACTCAGACAGAAAATATAACCAATGCAATTGCAAAAATTACTTAAATATTGTTATCATATTCTTTTTGATGGTACAGACCAACTAGTATATAATAACTAGTATATAATAATGAACTGTGTAAGTTTTTCCAGATGTTTCTTTGATTATCTGTAACTTCTGTCAGGTGAAACAGGCAGATATATAAACAAATTAATACTATACTGATTTGAATGCTGGAACTCAAAGTAAGCAGACAAGTGATGTATCTATTATGCTAGAGTTCTTCTGCTTGAAGATCACAGTAAAATTAATTTGCTAATACACAATGATACAATGTACAGATAACACATTTATTACAGACAGAGGGCTAGTGAGTGACACTTTGATCTGAGAGTACACAGATGCTACACTCATCCCAGACAGAGGGCTGGTGAGTAAAACTTTGATTCTAGAGTGCACTGATACTACACTTATCCGAGACAGATGGCTGGTGAGTGACACTTTGATTCAAGAGTATGCAGATACTACACATATACCAGACAGGGGGCTAGTGAATGACACACTGATCCATGAGTGCACATATATTACATTTACCCCAGAGACTTTGATAGTAGAATGCACAGATACTCCAATCCTAAACATAAGTACTAATCCAAATATAAATAATTTTGTCATTTTTTATGGGTACTATGCTAGTTAAATTTATGTTTAGAACTTATTGACTGAAAGATAGATTTTTGTTAGAACTGAAAAGCTGACCATGAGATCTCCAATAGCTTCGAGGCAAAATACTGACTGTGAGGATTCAGATCATTTGACTCATGCCTTGGGGTAAGGCATCTATCTTTAAAGCCTACAAACATGCATACATTCTTAGATGCTAAATTTGGCTCAATGTTGCCCGAACAGAGAAATAATTGTTTGCTCCTTTACCGAGACTATGTCTAATTTGGATATACTCAGTGACTAGACAATAACAGCTATGGTGTTGTCAGTAATAGTCATTTATGACAGATGGAGACTTTAATTTCATATAGCCAGTTTGAGTCTTGATGCTTTCAAGAGTTCAACTCAATTTATACCTAACACAGAATTATTAAAAGATTTCTTGGCAGTTTCAACACTTTTATTATGGGACACTTAGTGAAGTGAATTAACCTATTAACTATGACATAAATTTATGTCATTGTGAATGACATAAATTTAGAAATTCAATGGATTAATCAAGATTGATTACTGCTTACTGTAAAAACCATTTCAGCAAATTTTGCCAGTTTGTAATTGTTACTAGTTTCTTTACAGTTTTGTGTCCATTGCTGTTTTTGTAAAACTCTGTTACATAATCATCAAGCATGTGCAATATACTATTGCATCTAAAGAGAGGTGCAAAGATGCAGATGTTTTTTTTTTTAATCTTTTTATTCTAATTGGGCTTTTTTCAAAAAACTATCTTTTAACAATTAGCAATCTGCATCATTTATAAATGTTACTTCCACTTTAGTATCTGTCTATATTTCTGAGATGAGGTATTATGTACATTATTTACATTATTCGGACTATCATCCTCATCTTTGTCACCATATTTATTACAACATTTCAGCTGATCTAGCCTTCTTCAGGTGGTTAGAATGTCGAACTGAACCCTTTATTTCGCTCACTGGGGTAGACTGTTCTAGTTCCACGTGCCATGTTTAATGGATGTCAGTTATCAGTTATCTCCTGCTAATTTCCCTCTGAAGTTCTCCACTGCCTCTTTGGGTCCCATCACTGGATCTAACTAACACCTTTATCCACTGTGCCATGTGTCCTTGAGGACATCTGGGTATGAATTTCTGGGTATTATAAACCTAATGTCATCAGCAACCATTTTTACCATTGCAGTTTTTGCTGTTATCATTTCATGTTTTTACCAGAGCTCATATTGTAACTTTTTGTTGTTATTATTGCTTTCTTATGGCACTCCTTATTACTGGTTCCCATATTGTATTCATTTCTATGCTTGGTCAGCTCAGGAGATTTTTGTGGCCTAGCATATGTGCTGATTCCTTTATGAATTTTCCAATGGTGTTCCTTATCTATGATCTCAACCTGATCCCACAGAGGGCGGTGATCTCCCTTCTCTCTCCATATGTGGTCAGCCATGCCTGATTTTTCCACTTCCCCTCGTGTTACAGCTTTCTGGTGTTCTTGAAGCCTTACCAAAAAGTGTGAGTTCAATACACGGTTAAGGCAGTGGATAACTTTCAGAGGGAAAATTAGCAGGAGATAACTAATAA